GGAGAAGGAAGGTGTTGGTATTCCTCTGTTAACTACTTACATGAATACACCAACTCCTGAAAGCCATGCAGGAAAGTTGAGGAGTTTGATTTATTCTTAGCCCTGAAGCTAAGAGCCACCTCTCTGCTCCCATTTCAGATTGACAATGTATTCCAGCAGAGCCCTGTGGCAATAAGAGGCTATAGAAAGCAAAAAGGAGGCATGCCAATGGTGTGACGGTTAAGGCAACTGGAAACCACTTGGCCAACTGTGCGATTCAAGTCCCAGTCCCAAGGCTTGAAAAACACACCAGGCCTATGTTTGTGGTGTGCCCAAAATCCTGAAAGGAGAAAATTTAGAGGAGTGATTGTGGTGTGGCCATTCCCCCATGGGGGTGCTTCCCCCCCTCCTCTCTCTCTCTCTCTCTCTCTCTCTCTCTCTCTCTCACACACACACACACAAATTAAAGAAAAAGAAAGAAATTATCTTTTTTTTTCTAACCTGGTATTCAGTTTATTCCTGTGCCTATCCTCAGCTCAGAAACAATATGGCTAATAAACAACTGGCCTCACCCTGCCCAGAGTATTAACTGTCATAGTTAACCAACATACCCTGGTGTATCTGATAGTTTCCACTAGATTGAAAGCTGATTTAAAAATGTGCAAAGACTTTTTCTTTTTTTTTTTTTTTCATCGTTACATCTTTGCTTGGCCATTTAATATATTCAAAAAATACTTGTCATAAAAAATGACTTTATTAGACTAGTACAAACCAGACTGACTCCAAAATTGTCCTGTCTTAGAGAGACCAAAGGAACCAAAATGATGATGACTGAATGTTACATTTGGCTCAGTCTAGTACAGAGACAATTACAGAAAAAAAAAAAATCATGTCTCTAAGCTTTTAACAAAGTATTTTTATAACAGTCTGAGTTACATTTGCTTCTTTGTCAAGATTCAGCTGATTGATGGAGCAAATAAACCTGTTATTTCTAGCGTCTTAGTCTTCAGTATGTCTGTCTTTTGAGGACTGAAAATGAAGGGCCACTGTGACTGAGCAGTTGTGTCTTAGAAAAATAAATCACTTGGAATTTATGCAATTCACTTGAAGTTCAAAATTGCACAGAAGCCCAATAAGTAAAATATACTAGCTGAGATGATTATTCAGAGGTTCCTAGTTACTAACATACTGCATCATGGGAAAGAAAGCACATGGATACGCAAGCAGGGTCACCCAGAAAGAGGGCTTCTTTTATGACAAGGCACAGTGCCCTGAGCCAGCAAAACTGACTTGCATTTCCTTCACCTCAAATGGCCAGGTCTCCTGGCCACAGGCAGTGGCATGACCCCCCAGGGCTCAGCTGCTTAAAGTGAAGCTATTGTTGGGCACAGGATGCTCATTTGAAAGGGGAAAGCCTCACAGGAAAAAGAGCCAATCGCGAGTTAGAGCTGTTGCCATGGTGCTTCGCTATTTCTTCAAATGCTCTACATGAACTCCTGATAGTCCAGGGGTAGGATAACAGAAGAGAGGGAGAAGGAGGAATATGGGATGGACTTGGGTAGGGAATCCCACTGCAGTAGAGCTCTAGTCAGACTTTCCTTTTGTGTGTGTTCTAATGTCCACAAGGAGAGAGAAAGAAGGAGTGGGGGTGGAAAATGACTTTCTCCACCTGTCCTAGCTTGCTAAAATAAAATTAGAAATAATTTACCTTCTAAATATATCTAACATGAATTAGAAAATATAACAATGAAGTACAAAACAAACGAAGTCACTCCTAACCCCGAATCACCATTCATTCAGCAAATAATGTATTTCTAACACACTCCAGAGGCTAGATTGAAAGGTTAAATGAATTTAATCCATTTGACAAATGCAATCGAATATGCATATTAATGACCCGGTGGAGTGCAGAAAATTTCCTACTGCATATGAAGCACTTTTCAAGTGAAATAAATTAATCCCATTCCTGTTTATTTCATTATGAAAAAAGGCTAAATGCATTGGCACACCACTGACAGGCAAATAACCCTTCAAAAAGCTAGTTTAAAAAAAAAAACTTGGGTACTGCAAATCTACTCTGAGAACAGCCATGGTTCTAACCTTTTCTATTAAAAAAAAAAAAAAAAGTCCAGAAAGTAAATTAACCAAATGCTGCCTCACTTTAAAACAATTAGAGCAGCTGGGCTTTGTGTGGAGGCTGCATCTGCAGAACGCTTGCCTCTGCAGTGGAGAGAGAGGGTTAAAGAACACCTAGTTGAACTGGGGGAGGGTATGGACTTCAGATTTACTTAAATATTCATGGGGCTTCCTCCATTTTAATCTTCTCCTTTTTAAAAGATGGCTGTGTTTCTCAGTCTGGCAACTCCTCAGGAAAAAAGAATCGCTCCCCTTGCAGAGTTAAGCTGAGTAGGACAAATCTACAGTGGAAACCCCTTCGGCCACCAGGACTATTCATAATTCATAAGTGCTTCAAACCAGACAGCTGAGTACATTTGGACAGGCTCTTGCTCCTTCGTGCAATTCCTGATTTCATTACTCTCTTCTGCCAGGAAATAAGCAGAGAGCATAGACTTCTTGCAAAAATGGAGTGAGAAGATGGGCTTTGTTTGGATTAGGGAATGCCATCAATTTTGGAGGCTTTGTCTTTTCTAAGTTTTGATTATTTTACACTGGATCTGCAAGGCTTTCCTGAGCCTTTCTGATTGCTCTCTCAGAACTGTGAATTCTTTCAAAGAGATTTGTGGATTGTGGCAAGGAGAACATTCCAAAATGCCTGAGGCAAACTATTTGTTATCTGTATCTTGGGGTTATATCAAGGTGGGTTAATTTGATTGTGTTACGTGTCTTTGATAGAATGTGAAACATTTACATCTGTGTTTTCTGTGAAGTAGATGACATCTATAATGATTTAATGTGTATGCTCATTTAACTCAGGAGGGCTTCTTAGAGTGAAATAAGGGCATGTTATATTACTGTATTTATATAGGCTGTAATGTATTTTAATCCTGTTCTGACTATTTTTAAAGGATGCTCTTTTTTCCTCCTTTCATTTTCCCTTAAACTTTTCATGTATACTCTCCTTCACTAAATAGGTTATTAAATCACATTTTAGAGCTAATTTCTGACACATGCATTTTTTAAATTAGTTACATTTTCATGTGAAATAATTTCTCCCTCTATTAAAATTCCTTTTCTTATGTTTACATTTTCAAAAGAAATCAGATGTTCATTCTAAGAAATCTTACAAAAACCTTTTTTTCTAAGGTGACGTAATAATTTTCAATTAAGAGATTATTCTATTTTGTGGAAGTATTATCTCCTATCTAATGGTATCTGCTCATTCAGTCTCTTGGTTTCTAGACAGTAAAATTAGGACCATTGAAAGTGATCACTTGTTCTTTTTTAGGTGGTTAATACATCTTTCTTTTTCATAACAGTTCAAAAGAATG